GCACTAGCCAAATTATTGTCAACCCAACATCACGAACGAAATGAACAGAAAGAAAGGAAAAGAAGAAGAGAACATAGTCTTATGAGCTGCCAGGAATGGCAGATCATAACATCAACAAAGAACATTAGATGAGATCTATGGACGGTAGGTAGTGATGATTGAGTTATGTTTGGATGACTAAAATATTGCTTTGACTGTTTCGTCCGATATATCAACGATATATCTTTACATCAAACGAATCGCTCGAAACAGTTAATGATGTCCTAGATAAAGCCAATATGTACCATCCAAACATTAAACTGGTTCGATAGATTGGTCAAAACATTTTATTCCTTGATGTTCTCGTCGAGAATCGGAACGGTTGTTTGTTTACATCTGTCTATCATAGAGAAGCTGCTGAACCACATGTGTTACCGTTTCAATCTGACCATCCTCGTCAAACGTTCAGTAATGTCATTCAAGGAGCTCTCTTTCGAGTAGTTCGATATTCATCATCAATCGAAATCAATTTTACGAAAGATTCTCGGTTTCATCTATCTTTTCCCATCTTGATGTTGATGAATTCCTTCATTTGCATAAACAATTACTTGAGCGATGTACCAATGCGGAGACAAAAGCTGTGAGAAGTAGTTCACAGATGGCAAATAATGTGAAGAAGAATGACATTCAACGACTGACAGTTCATTGCACACATGAGAAGGCATTGCGATACTTCAAAAGGGGATTTCATCAGCTATGGGAAGAGACTTTCTCGAAAACAACAGCTACAGATATTCGGGTCATCGTTGGGACACTAATTAATCAATCGCTAACAGCGCTTCTTGTTCGGAAATGTCCCAAAATGGCTGAAAAATATTGACAATTCATTCAAATTAGCAAAGATTTAAGATTCACAAAAGTTAGAATTAATCTCATCATATTTATCCGATAAATCTCTTGATTGGTTTTGTAACAATATGAATGACATTGACACCTGGACCAAATTTAAAGAAGTAATAACACATAGATACTTGTTATCATTAGCCTCAAAAAAACTTCGAAATCGTGAACAAGGGTTACAAGAATCAGTTATAGATTACTGTGAAGATGTTATCGAATTATGTGAAACTGTCGATCCTGATATGACAGATCAATCAAACTTAAATTATTTAATGCAAGGATTAAAATCATCATTGAAAAAAAGAAGTTCAACGAAAAAAACCATTAAATCCACAAGAATTCATACAAGCAGCTCGAACTGAAGAAGAATTAGAACAATATGATTTTCAAGAGACTAAATCAGATCCAATCGAACCTCACCCGTCATCATCACAACGCACACCCTTTTATTATCAAAATACAAAATACAACTATCAAAAACAACCTACTTCAAAAGCTTATGATAAATATTCACAACAGTTTCAACAACAACGATGCTTTATATGCAACAAACCAGGTCACCTTGCCTCTGATTGTTGGTCGTCAAAAAACTCTTGAAGGAGACATATGATGGTAGTGCCTCCTTCATATCACAACCATCATCTCTTATCCTAATCGATGTCCCAATCAATAATACCATTATTACGCCAATGTTGGATACTGGCACTACACAGTCAATTATTTGACGAGCCACACTACAAAGAATTAACAATACACAAAAAATTCGACCTACAACAAAAGAATTTATATTAGATGTGCAAAATTAAAACCTTGTGGAGAAATAACATTAGACGTTAAGACCGACAGCATAACAACAACAATAACAGCGGCTGTCACTGAAATATTAGGCTTTAATTTAATCTTAGGACGAGATTGGCAATAACACTATACAATAACAATCGATCACAACATACAACAAATTCAGCTGCAAAATCATCAGAAACGTATAGTCATTCCGTTTAAAAAAAAAAACGCCACTATCATTACCTTTACAAAAACAGCAACGAGCATCAACGAATCGTCATCATCCTCATACATATCATCCACAACATCTCAAAATACCATATGACCATTATCCAACGACATTAACCATACAGAATGATTTATTAACACTTCCAAAACCAACAATAGACTCACCATGGCCGAAGACAAATGAGGCCTGACATATTATTAACCAACAGCAGGATGAACAATTGCTTAATGAAATAACAGACCTAACAACCAACAAGGAAAAATTAATCAACCGGATTGGTGGTCATAGATATTTTACCAAAATTGATTTAAAATCCGGATATTTTCAGATTCCTATCCATTCAGCCGACAAAGAAAAGACTGCTTTAAATGCTTTTATTTCGTGACGAAATTACACACTTTTTCAGTTCTATGCATTTTTGCATTAATATGCATAAAACTCAACTAAATCCAACTACAATGAGTACGAAAAACCTTTTTTACTGCTTACAAAGCCGGCAAACATTT